GACAACTGTCCCCTAATCACAGACACATCACTCGATCATCTAATTACTTGTCATAGTTTGCAACGAATTGAGTTATACGACTGTCAACTCATCACCAGAGCTGGCATTAGAAGATTAAGAGTTTGTTGAATTATTACTTGTTTACTTTGTTTCAGAGCAACCACTGCACACATCCACACATTCATTAGCTTACATTTGAGTCCATTTTAAATTATATCTAAATTATGATTCAAAATATAAAATATTCTGAAACAGTGTCCCTGACATGTGAGTAGACCTACTGTATCAGTATATTAATACTGGTAATTGTTTTCAATGAATTGCTGAATCTGTCAGATGTGTTGAGTGGTTGATAATAATAATGTTATAAGAATTGTCTGTAATGTAATGAATAACTAATAATTGAAATAATTATGATATTTGTCTGATGATTACAGAATCACTTGCCTGACCTCAAAGTGCACGCCTACTTCGCACCGGTCACTCCACCCCCATCCGTGACGCCTCGGCCGCGATATTGTCGGTGTTGTGTTATCTTATGATTCGCGAAATACTAATTGTTTTGATCGTTTAGTATAATATATTTTAATTATTATTTCATTCTATACTGTATTGAAATGAATTCATAACTCAAAAGCACAGATAAAACAAATCTTCCAAAGATTTGACAGACTTTTGGTTCAGTCGTTAATAAGTTATCAAAAGTTTAAGGAATGAAATTCCGACCGAAGAATCATTTGTCGTCATTAACACAACATTACTTCCAATTGAATACTATTTGATTCATTATACCAATCATTTATAAATACGTGTATTCATACGAACATAACAAATGTCTAAACGCTTATTGTTTTTTACTGTTAAGACTTATATTGAAATGGAAATTTAATTAATATTCAGATATTTATGATTAGCTGTAAATTGAATTTGCATTTATATATGTATTAAAGACTATTATTTAAATGATTTTCTTATTTCATTATTTATTGACTACAGTATATTATTTTTATTTTAATAATTTGTATTTCTACTAAAATGATAAATTGACAATCAAATATATAATTTTTAAATTATTTAAAGAATTTTAGTCTTTTTTAAATACATTGGAATTAAACACTTGTGATTTTAAATACTAATCGTAATATTTATTAAATGGTTTTAAAAATACTGCATCATATTGCTGACTACTTTGTTTGCTCAATTTAGTCAAATATTGCTCGAAATGCCGGAAACTAATTTTATGAGAAATTCAAGTAATTAACTTGTTTAATTAAAACTTAAATTAGATATTTTCCAAAATATAAGATAAAAATAAAAGTAACAAAT